TTCTAAAAGAATTTACATGAAAATAGAGTTTAGTTCCCATAGGAGAGAAATGCTTTTGTTCTTGACCACCAACATGGCCGCCGTGACGTCACCGGCAAACCAGCAATTAACAAAGACGAGGAAAATGGCAACCAAAGCAGTATTAAATAAGAGATGATTTTTTTTTTTTGCGGCCTGTAAGTAGTACGTTGAGATCAAAGTTGTCATAGCAACGAAATCACATCATTAGCTGTATATTATAACTATATACTTAACAATTATTCCTCGAGCCCGAATGGGCTCAGAGGCCATGAGGGCGAGAGGAATAATTGTTTTAGTAAAATTCAACTAGTTGGTCAAAAATATGGAGACAAAACAACTTTAGCTAGCAAAACGCCATTCAGCCGCCATAATGTTTTGGTTTTCAAAGCCGGCGCTTTTCACTACTAGTGGGCTATAACATATAGCCTAGTAGTAGCTCAACCAATCAGAACACAGCATTGATAATAGACCACTAGTTGTATTTTACTAATAACTAATATTCCCACCACTCAATGCAGCTTTCCCCCTATCTTAGCCCTTACTCCACCTCTTCCCTTCCCAGTCCCCTTCCTCAATCACATCTCAATGTCGGACACACGCCAATTTGAAATTACACATAACTAGTAGTTATGTTAGGCTACAGTGCACAAATGAATTTGATAACGATTCCGATTCTCTCCACCCAGTCACTTCGATGTTTCAGAACTTGTTATTATACAAATTACTAGTCACTATAAGTAGAGAGTGTATAACGCAATGTTATCATTTCCTGCTTGAACAGATGTTATTCAAAATTATCATTATTGCTAGCTTCTTTTTAGTCAATTGTGATTAGTTACAAAATGGCACATCTGAATTACTAACAACATAGTTACATGGAACTTTTTAGCTTGTTTGAATGCATTACCTGATTTAGGCTTACGCGAACACGCTGAAAATATTCCTCAAACCAACGGAACGTGAGCCACAACCAAGCTTAGTTTTCATGTTTTTAACTAAATGTTCCATTTATCTGGCAGGACGCTTGCCATATTTGGTAGTATACTCTGCATGTTGCTGTTTTGTAAATGCAATTTTCACGCGGGAGTCTTCAAGAACAATAACAAACTCCAATTATATGAATTATTTAAGTTAAAGAGCCCTATATGACAAGCGTTTCAAGTTTTAGAGTAAAAAATTGTCCGCTAGCAAACAACTACATATGGCTTTTCGTTCATGCATCGAACGGAAAATTAAATGCAAATCACAGTTTCTTGTGCTTCCTTCTTAAGGCAACCGGTAGTTTTTGTCAACGAGAGGATATGAAATTAAACTTCTTAAATAAACCTGTGTGTGAAATTCAAACAGTGGCGTTTTACGTCAAACAATTATGTATATTTCGTCTAGCAATTATCCAGGTTATCGAATGGAGCATTCCAACTCATTAGTTGAAGCTGCTTCTCTTCCTTCTTTTCTTCTTTTCGCCCACTTTCCTAGTTTGATAACTACGTATTTAAGAAACTGATTTCTCCCTTGACTCAAGGGAGACATTAATTTGTTAAAAGCAGCGAACCGAGACTGCCAGGTATATAAACTTAACTTTTGAAATTTTGTTTCCTTAACCAACAATTAGTTTTAATTTCAACTCCTTTGTCGGCCTTCATTTTAATAACATTGACTCCAAGACCACTTCAAGAATCTTCCACAAAAGTCTTGGCTCCTAATTTATGCTAATCGCACCTTATTTACCACCAAAAAAGTCCCGGCCGCTGTCCAATTTATATTATTAACGGCCCTGAATACTTTAAGTTTGAGAACACAAAGATAGCTGACTATGTAGAAATGGTTGCAAGATGGAAATGATAGGGTGACGATTTAAGAGGGTAAGATGAGTTTTCTTTGATATTACCCGTGGTGTAAACACATGAATTAACTCTCACCGCGTTTGAACACTGGTGCATTGGTGAAAGTTATGCGTCATGGTAAGCGACCTGTTTATTTTCTTTTCTCTGCATACGAAGGCACGTATTAACACTAAAGGAATATCATTGATAATGAGAATATTTTCGTAAGGGAAAGTCGTATACGACGCAAATTTTTATAGGTAAGTTAAATATTTTAACGGCAAGTAAGGCCTATTTACAAATGCAATCGCTAAATGATTTTTCCACTCTCTGATTTAAAGAAACATGTTGTATATGTTTCATTTTTTGTCAGATTATTAACAAGTTAACAGGAGCTGATGTTTACGTCTTTTTTACTGAAACAGAAGTAGAGTGACAGACTACGTATCGAAAATTCACTTTACAACGATTAATATTTTAGAAGAATTCAAAAGGCTATTAAAAGGAAACCACTCACGCAGTGCTTTAGTAAAACTTTGAAGAGCAGTTTCACAAATTAACGCATTCTGACTTTTTTTTACCATTAAAAAATATCGACTTCTACACAATCTAACCATTCTAGAATATCATTTATTTCACACAAATAAGTTAACAAGAAAAAAAATGCAAGTTTAATTTTACTTAAACAGCAACCTTCTCAAGCAAGAACTAATAAGTCGAATGTTTGAAGACGCCATTATGAAAAAGTTATGCAGTTTGTTGTTATTAAAATCGATATGAATAATTCACTAACTTGGCGCGTCACATCTAGCTAATTAAAGTTGTTGAACAGTTAGAAGGGAGAACCTTCTTTATTGACAAAAAGACACCATTCGTCTTGCAGTCCATTATTGTGATCCACTGCCAGATAATTCGGGGATACTGTCGAAATTGTAATAGACCTTACCAGGGATCCCTATGACACCCGCTAGTAGAATTTTTTACGCTAAATGATGTACACAGTAATGACCTTGCTTGCTTCCCCTAAGTTACATAACCAAAAACAGTGATGTTGGTAAGTTAGAGACGATCGTAGATATGCACAAAACATCGAAAACTACAAGTAAAGTTAAAACGTTCATAAAATGTGTCTGCTTCTACGGAACAGTCTTTCACATAAATCATATACACCATAATCTCAGCCACATCTGCCACTATTTAGAAAACAAGACATAAATTCTGATCGTGGATATTCAGTGGTTTATCCCAAGGAATCAAATCAATCTTGTTGTAACTAATAATATAAATGTCACACAAAGTTAACCTTACAAATATTTGGTAATTTGAGATCCACATGCCTTTTAAAGGAAGTATTTTTATCTAATTTACTTAGTCCAATGGAAAGATTCTCGATTAATTTTACTTAACTTAACCCAGAATTAAAACAGCGAAAAAACCTTCGACTGAAAACAATTCTGCTGTAAATTCCAAATAGTGATTGCGAACCAAACTTTTACTGATTTTTTTAAGCAATTCAACCTTGATGTACTTCTATGCACATTTGTCACAAGAAATGTAAACTTTGAAAGCTTTAACTACTTTATCTTTGAACGTGTCGCCACGGCTTTAAATTTTTAAAAGTCTTTTTATAACTGATGTTGAGCAATCATCTGAGACGAGTTCGCAAAAACACCTGCTATCGGTGTCTGGTAAAGCGTCTCGTAGGAACTCTACAGAGAGTTAACTGTGCTGTTTTGGAAATGACTCAACCAGGTCGCAAATCGCAGAGAGGGAGACCTAAACTATGTAATATTATGTGAAGAGAATTACAGTCAACGCCATTAGATATTGTGTGTACTGGGCATATCTGTCAATTTTACGTCAATGAAAATTTACCTTACATTTTATAAAAATTTAATAATTGCCATGACATTGATTGCTGTACTTTGCTATACCTTGTAAAGAGTTGACTGGGATTTATCAAGGAAATTTACATATAGACTACTCAAAGCACTTTATTTAGTTATTTTTTGTTTAAAAGGACGCAACTTTGTCCCCTAACATTTCAAAGTAGGTTGCATTCTATTGACTAGAGATATTCTTCTTAACTGACTGTTAATTATATAAAAGATAATAAAAGATTTTTTAAATTTTTGAATTAAAAAAGTGCTTCTTTAAACAAAAATTTCGTAATAAATTTGAGTAACTGTGTTCTGACTTAACTTATCTCAAGGGAAATGTAATTAACGTATTAATAGCTCGTAAGGCATCAAGTCTTTTTTCTCTTTTTGAATTAAAAAAGAATAAACCTACATGAAGATGAGCTGGCTACTTTTTTAACTTAAGCATTAAGAACAAACGCCGGAAACACAAACAGGACATAGTATTTGGTAACATAATGAATTAAACTTTATAGTGGTTTATTTTTGGGGGTTACCACACCTGTTGGAAATTGAATCTTTTTGGCGCCAAATTAAAGAAACAATGGTGGTGGTGGTTATAACGCAATGAATTTTTCGGAAAAGGCTTTGTGTTGGAGAGAAAAAACGTTTTATCAGCAAGCTCTGAAAAGGCTAAAGCTATCTAACATCCCACAGAGATTAAGTACAAAGAAAGCCAGAAAGAGATTACAATTAAACGCATTTTTATTGAATGTATGAAAATGTGGGAAGAAATGATTTGCATAACCGTAGACATTACATAGATTCTACATTGGCTTTCCACCAATCTTCAAATCGTTTTAAGGTAATTCGTTCAAATTGATTGTCAATCTAATTCTGGCTCAAACCTTGTTAAAAATTCGTCACTGACAGTTATGTATGCATTTTAAAATATTCTCGTCAAATTTCGCCGACGCATTGTACAATCAAAAAATAATGAGCACCTGAAACGCAGCCCACAAGAGTTGTACATCGATTTTTAGCGTGTTTATTATAAACTTTTCGGTGAACTACACCATTTTCCATGCCCTTTGAGCAATACAAACAAATTAATGAAATCTATTTTTCCGTTTTACAGGTATGATATGCAATTCTAATCTATTTTATCATTTGGTATACTGGAAATTTGGTGAAATGAACCTCTCCTTCACTATTTGACTTTACTATCCAAGACAAGTAAGCAACTCAACTATGTTTCTTTTAACAGACTGCTGAAGACAGGACTTCAACTGCCACCATGAGGGCTTGCTCGGCGACATTAGTCCTTACGTTGCTTCTGCTTATTGTCAGAAGATCTGACGAAGCTGAAGAAAAAGAGTAAGATTTATTTCTTATAGGTAGTCACGCACTTTATAAAAATATTATTAAGATACTTTTGGCTTAAACTTTGCCTTTCAGGGACAAGAGCGAGTATTGGTAAAATTTCCCTTGAAACCAAATTTCAATCCAGTCTTCTCTAGCAGTACTTTCATTGATTATTTTGCTAAGATTACTGAAGGAAATTTAATTATTCGCGAATTTTCTATCTGTTCTATTTTTTCTGTCGTGTGCTACAGTCCGTGTCGAATGTTTCAACCGAATTTTGAAGAACAGCAAAATGGGGCGACGACTATTCGGCATGCTGTTTGTGTTCAAAACAGTGGCGATAGAGGAAATTAATATGAGTATATTCATAGCATAAAAAATCTAGAGGAAAGAGTTATTTCTGTCGCGCCTTGTCATTCTCTGTTTTCGCAAAAGAAAAAGTAATCTACTCAGGTCTTTTAATTGACGAAAAGAAAGCATAATGTAATTATTGATTTTGAAGTAAAATGACGCCAGTTCGTGTTTAAATAATCTCATGAAATGATCTCTTTCATGCTGTTAAGTAGATGGCATTGTTAGCAGAATAGAGTTGTTTACAACGAAGAAAGGCAGAATATGTTATGTGACTTAAGACTTCAAAACGTTTTGGCCGAAAAGAGAAAAAATGTCAAATTTATCAAAGAAAATTGTGACGATATTGATCTTGCTCTATGATCTGAATATATGGTCAAAAAAGGTAAGCGAAGAGTGCCAACTTTAAGCTGTTTTACTATGCGGATCAGTCTTTGATTAAATATGTTTTTACTTCTTTCAAATAACAAAGAAAATTGAAAAGGATAAACATTTTATGGAAGGTTGTCCGCGTTATGGCCATCAGACGAGAGGTCAGAGAAATATGATATCACAAAGTAATTTATTATACTTTAAAAACTTGCAGTTCATTTATTTGATTGGTTCCTTATGTGGGCAAAATATAATATTATCTACTAGTAGTTTCTTCCTTAGCACTAAACATCTACCTATTTTCGCCAATTGAGAAAATACGAGGTCAAATGAAAACTGACCTCAATGCACTTTTCTTGGAAACCTTTTGTACTAATTTGACTTTCTATCTGCCCCGTATTATAATCAGATAGTCTTTCTCTTCATTATAGAGCACTGAAAGACTATGCTAAATCCATGGAGCGGGCCTTAAAACTTTCACAGAAAATAAATGAAGCTTTAGCAGTACATGACAAGAAGGTGCGACCAAACGCAGGAGGTAAGAACAGCTTGTAACTAGTAAAGAGTTCACTGTCATTTCAACTGGTAATGATGACAATATCTGCGCGTCACAACCGTTCATCAACTCCGTTAAGCTACTCTTGAGGTAGAATTTTATGTTCTACGATTAATTTTTCGATTCTCGTTGTAACAGCTTCGATATTCTATAGATGAAGGAGGAGAGAAATATACAGAAGGTCACAAAGGTTCAGTCTAGAAGGGGATAAAATGAAAAAACGTACATTTCGTGTATATGATTTCTCTCACAGGTCCACCAGTTATGGTTGATGTAGAATTCAAAATTATCTCAATTGGAGAAATTAAAGAAGCTCAGATGGTAAGAGGCACTCATAGATTTGATTGAGTTTACACAATGTCGTGCGATTGTTCCGTGTATTGCTGATCATTTACCTCTCTTCTTCGTAAGTTCGAAGGCAACCTTTAAACCAGCTACTTGCTTAAGTTGTCATAACTATCAGCATCATAACTGTTATTATCTTTTCTTTTATGGAAGACCTTATTGTAAAATTGTCGTCTTTCATAAAGTGCAATTACGAGCCCAATAGCTTAATATGCAATTATTCTATGTATAAAAGCAGACAAAAAAAACAATTAGATTACGAATAAAACCAAGAATAAAATAATAACAATCAATGATAACAACTTTTTTAACAACAACACGGTCTAATCTAGGATTAATCTTCGCGGATTATTATTATCTATTATTATTATTTATTATCATTATTATTATCATTGTTATTAATGGCTCTTATGGTTGGATAACAAATATCATTAGATTGGATTGATTGCTGAGTATATGAGGTCAGCTTATCTATTAATCCTGACCTTTTACCTATAAAGGAATACACAATGGATATATTCTTCCGTCAATGGTGGACTGACCCAAGAATGGCACATAATATGAGCACGCCTTTCAATATGGCAGGAGACGCAACTCAAATGATCTGGACACCAGATACGTTTTTCTGGAATGTCAAAGCAGCAAAATATCACAGGGTAACGCGAGAAAATATGAGAATAAAAATACATGGAGATGGCAAAGTCTACTTCAGCACAAGGTAACGTGACCGGTAATGCACATACATGTAAAAAATTATTGTAAATGTTTATTATAATTTTTATTATTTCGCAACCACAACACTTCAAGTAACTAAAAAAAACAAGCGTGTGTCTTTCCAGGGCGATTGGGCTGGTTTCTAGATAAGTGGGATTTTAGCCAATCAGAAACGGAGAAATATTTTAATTGAATAATAAAACTGACTCATACCCGTTTCCGAAGTGCAGGGATTAAAAAATAGAGAGATTTGTACCACGTGGTCAAGTATATCCTTGACTCTAAATATATATATTAATTTGGCCCGGTTGAGGTCAAACAAACAAATAAACAAACTCGAAAACCCTGCCCGCCCCTTAATTATTATTACTAAGAGTTACATAGGTGACAGTTCTTAAGGGTGTCAGCTGCTAGAGGTTCTCAATGTCCACGTTTCTCACCTGGTTCTCAAAAGAAGCAAGTGTTGCAGAACTCTTGATAAGCATACTTAGTTTGGGCCATATTATATATACGTAGTATCTATTCTTGGAATCCAAAAATTGTCTTAATTTGTCAGGTTATAACTTTGGTTGTTTAGGGTGGCTCGACTGGATTTTTAGGGAGTATACTTCCCCACTTCGAGCGTTTACCACGTCGGCATTAACAAAGATAACTCAAAAAGGTTACCACAGCTGCACTGTATAAAGATGAAAGTTCGATATTTTTATGTATCGGCCATCAATCTCTAGGTTTAATTAAGGTTTGACATATATTCCGTTCTTTTTAGGATTACTTTTACAGCGCAATGTGATATGAATCTTCGCATGTATCCAATGGACATTCAAGTTTGCCCTTTAACTATAGAGAGTTGTAAGTACAATCTCTTTCTCCTGATAACCCTGGTTTTATCATGTTTTCAGTCAGATTTGTCCTAAAGATTTTGTTTAAAGTAATAACCGTCTGAAGTGAAAGTAACTGCAGTCGTTTGGTGAGCCAATACTTTGCTTCCTGATCGTTTAAAGTACGTTGACCGGCTTTTAATTGTTTGTCTCAAATGACACTCCTGTTATTATTTACTAATTTTTTCTCACGTAACAATTGCAAGCTTGGGAATGGGAACCAAGAGCGTCTCTTTAAAAAGTCGACAGTCAAATTGTAAACACAATGAAATCTAAAAACAGATCGCGGCAAGTCGACTACGCTGTGACACTATACTAATACTTGGGATGGATCGACATTCCAACTTCAACTTCAACTTTATTTGCACTGTTCAGATGAATTTATCTTACACATACGGAATATATAATTTTCTTACAGAATTGTACTATATTCAAATATTATAAACTGAAAATCTAGAGAGGATATGCACAGTGGCCAAAGGGGCCGAGGCTTTCGAGTTGGCCAGTGTCATGTTAAAAATATTAAATCAGAAAAAGCCAAGATTTATATTCGTTAAGATAAACGGACACATTATTAGCAAAATCTACAGTAAATATTATACTAAAGGCCTGTTTACATGGAGGTGGGGGACCCCAGGCAGGTGAGGTAACCGGCTTAGGTGGGGTAACCCGCCTGTCCATATAATCTCATTTTAATTTAATTACGTTTGCATGATAACTGGGGTGACCCGCCACATGTTACCTCACCTATTCGGGGTCCCCCACCTCCACGTAAACAAGCCCTAACTGAAGCATAGCTTAACCTGGGGGCTCATTCACGCGCTCATTCATTCCGTGTGATAGGCTCCTCATTAGTGACAAAGAGTCTCTTCCACGTTTCAGATGCACATACCACAGAAGATGTTGATTACCGATGGAAAGGAGGCAAGTCACAGGGTGTTGAGATTGTCTCCAAGGAAATGGCTCAGTTTGAATTTGTCGGAGCCAAAACGTCGACTAAGGCAAACACCAATAGCAAAGGTAAGTAATTTTAATCAGTTAAGATAACATTTGTAGCATATTCGTTTATGCCATTTCACTGCTCATTTTTTTTAATTATTATTTTTGATTTTACGGACTTTAAAATGAGTTATTCTTTACATGCACAGACTAGAGTTTGCCTTTTTTGTCTGTAAATAAAGGATCTTTTGCCAGTCTGCGAGCGTTTTTTACCTTCAAGCGTCGTGTATCGTACTTCATTACTGCCACCTATATGCCAGCAGTGGTGCTTGTGATTCTAAGTTGGTGTTGCTTTTGGATCCATCGTTCTGCTGTTCCGGCACGAGTAACTCTCTCCATAACAACTATTCTAACTACCATTTTGCTGTATGGCTCGGTCAACTCCAACATGCCCAAGGTAATTTTACTGAAATAAACAAACTTTAGGCAGATACTGCAATGAAAGAAAAGCGTTGCGAACAAAAAACATGATCAGTTTGATAGAAACCAATAACGCAGGTCTGTACCCAAAGACAAAGTTTCTTAGCCCTCATTTCTGCTTTCACTGTTATTTCAGGGTATTTCTTCTCCTGGAAATCCGAAGTACACGACGATCACTTCCATCGAGGCCCATTGCCATAGCCATGTATTTTGCTAGCTATCTACACACACTTTAAACACTAGAAGAGTAACACGATCTGGTGGCGTCCTATACGCATTGTTAGCTCTCCACGTAAATTCTGAGAGTCTGCAAAGTAGTCAAAGTAGCCCTCTCTTTAAGACCTTTATTTGTCTCTAATTAGACATTTTCAAATTGTGCCCTTTTATTATATAGCTTGAAATTTTACCCTTTTATGAGTTACTTCCTACCAAAAGTCGCTGAGAGGGGCAAAGCATTGCAGAATCTATCAAGTCAGAGGATAACAGTTACCAGCGAATGTTGAAGCTCGTTGCGATTTGCGTTAATAAAATTGTTCACATACTGAGAAATTTTCCTTCGTGGGATAACAGTTTAGTTTTAAAACAACTGGGCCCTCGAGAAACTTGCTAATTTTGTCGTCCGAGAATTTCTGTGTTTTCTTGAGGGACCAGCCTGTTACAGTTAACTTTATATTTAGAGCAGTGTGACAAGAAAAAGTATTTTTAAGAGAACAGTCAAGTTTATTGTTTTTACAAAAGAATAATTTGACAAGCTTAGTAGGCACAAACAGAGGGTAAAATATTCCGTTTCAGAAGTATAACATAGTGTTTAAGGTTATAACTTTGAAGCGGTCACTGTTTCTTCTAAAGTCAACATCACTTTAAGTATCAATATCATGGCCGCCTATAGGTTCTAATGATGTACAAAATTATGCAAGCACTACAGTTTCGTCATGTTGCTTCTTTTCTTTAGCTCTATGCTTATTATCTTGGCTTACTTGTGTGGCATAACGATGCATTCATAAACACTGAGATTATAAACTTCGTTACTAAACTTAATGCGTCGTATTAGTGAAAACAAGCCTTAATACTAATGGCTTAAATTTGGTTTTTTGGTAGGTCAGTTACAGTAAAGCTATCGATTACTTTCTGATGACGTCGCTGGGTTTTATATTTATGGCACTACTGGAATACATCCTTGTGCTTAACACGGATCCACGTTTCTGTACACAAAGACGAAAAGAAGAAAGAGATGAAAAGATGAAGTCATTATACAAGGTAAGGTGTCGATTCTTTGAGCTCTTTTCAAGCAAAAGAGCGTAGGCTTAGCTACATAATTCCCCACATATGGCCTGAAATTATTTCCAGAGTTTCCCGAAAAAAGCTCTAAAATCATTTTCGAAATGTCTTAAATTCCCCAAAAACTCTCTAAAATTCCCAAACATTTACAAAAATTTTCGGCTTCTTTTGATAGCGAGGGCCCCTTTTGGTGAATAACCGCTGATAAGTTGTAGTGTAGACGACTCTGATGAAAAACACTGATTAGTTGTGCACATTGGACAGTACGCTAGACACTGCTGTAGCATTTAAGCGGACTGAGCCCTTGATCGGTAGGAATACAACAAAAACGTTTTGTTGAACTGTTCAAAATGCTCTAAAATTCTTGAATTTGTCGACTTTTTCCCTGAAATTCCCGAGAATTTCTAAAATTCTTTTTGATGTCTAAAATTCCAAAACAAATTTCCGAAATTAGGTAGCTAAGCCTAAAAGAGCGTTTCCACATGACGTCACGGCGGCCATGTTGGTGTCCAAATCAAATCGTGTGGAAGTTTAAAAACTCTTTTACGATGCATAGCTTTCCTTTTTTCCTATAAATTTTGCATAGATGCTTGCCACGTTAGAGAAACGCTCTCAGTGTAAACACTTAAATTAAAACGAAGTTCCTCATTCAAGACCTTTTTGCAGCCACTAAAGCAGTCAACAAAAATGTATTAAATTTTAAATTACTCAATTCTGATTGGCTGAGAAAGGAGTGCAGCTCTTCTGTAACACGAGTGCAAAATGTGTAACACGAGTGCAAACTTGTAACACGAGTGCAAATTACAAATGGTTTCTGATTGGCCGAAAACACAAAAGAAACCAACAAGAACCAATCAGATTAGAGCTGTTTTAACAACACAGATTCAAGAAAATGGCCATGGTTTTCAGCAGACGACGACGGGATTAAATTTTGTAAGCAAAACAACAATAGAAAAGTTTAAAAAAATATCCCAAAAAAACCCAAACACGGTAAAAAGTACGTCTTTCTCGCTAAATGTATTGAAAATGCGTTGCTAAGAGAAAAATACTGTCGACAAAATCGAGGAAAATGAGCCAGAGAAACTAAAAAAAAAGCTACTCATAACAGACTACGCTAAAGTAAAAAAAATAAAGAACAAAAACGGTTGCAACAACACGCAAACCATGACAGCTACACTCTCCAGGCATTTAAATGAACAAGGATTATTCAATGATATCAACAGGGATTTCAAGTCATGTACGTTATTTGTTGCTCTCTTTGAGTCTTTTGTGGAGCGAAGACCTCTAGTAAAACATCCATGTGATGGTCTGTTTTTTTCCCACCTCAGTAGCAAACGAAACTGAAAATTTAAACTTCTGGTCCAAACTAAACCAATGGGTGAAAATACCACAACTCACATGAAAAGTATCCGTAGCTGGTACTAGCCTTAAAGAAAGTGAGAAAAAAGTTTACGAATCATTGTGCAAGAAAAACAACATGCAGTCAGGTGAAGAAAGCAAAGATTGTAATTTCAGAACATATCCTCAGTGTCACAGGCCACAGAGGTATAAATTTCCTTAACGACTACGATGAAGCCGACGAAGAAGAGCTACGATGAATCTTGCATTAGCCCAAATAAAATAATGAAAACTCCAGCGCTGAGAAAAAGCAAATATTATATTAATACTGACAGTTTCCGACATCACAACAACTGTGGCTCCACTCACCCATCGATGGTAGCGTCGAAAGAAAACAAATTGCCTCCTTCATTTTCGGGTCTTAAATCTCAAAAATTTGTCCATGAATCCAGCTATGATGGGGTCTCAGGAACAGACAATGATAAACAGTCGTTAGAAATCCTTAGCAAGTGTCTTTCATCTTTGGCAACTCGAAGCGTTCTCCTGATTTAAAAACGGCAGTATACTTCTTGAAAACGCCTCTTGTAAACGCCGAGCTCTCATAATCGAGGATGAATTTAAAAACACTTACTTTTGCTGATTGTTGTAAACCAAGTTATCTTTAACAGGCTGGTGATCATATAAAAAAATCCTTGCACATTTCCAAGTTCTTAGCTGAATGATTTTGAAAGCGTTGGTCTTGAAAAAGTTTGAATTTGACAAAGGTAGTAGTCTGTTTCAGCCAATCAGTTGAATGAACTAAAAACGCGCGCAGTCAAAATTTGTTGTCATAGTTATGTTTTTCGTGTATATTATTAATAAGTAATCACATGATTTTTCTCTTGCAATTTAGATTAAATAAGCACTTGTATATTTTTCAAAGACCACAAAGTGCACTCGCCCTACGGGCTCGTGCTCTTTTGTTAGTCTTTGAAAAATTTACTCGTGCTTATTTATTCCAAATTGCACTCGAAATCATGTGATTACCTATACTTACTGATACCTTTTTTTTTGTCAGTTTGTTTCAATCCCGTTAACCAATGATAGATATCTGACGCAAGCGCTATTTTGGCAACCAGTAATTTTTTACAATTATTATTTAAAAAGTAGTTTAAGAATATGTTTAATTGATTCGATCATTTCTAGGAGATTCCTCCTGACACCCTTGTGGGCTTAATGGATGGAAAGAACAAACCAGATGAACTTCCCATGATGCCCTTAAACGGAGACAGCAAGATGATTGACAAGGAGCCGCCCAAGACGCCAGAAAATGTTAAGAATCATTGGATCGACTGCGTATCCAGAGTTCTTTTTCCAGTGATTTACTTCTCATTTATAATTTTTTACTGGATATACTACTTAAATCACCCTGATTCCGCGCTCAGTAACAAAGTGCAGGAATAACGTTGACGCTTAACAAGACCTGGGTTGAGTTATGTCAAGAGAGGGTAACCTCAATGTATTTTAAAAGTTTTGAATATGATAGATTAAAAACTTGGTTACATCTTTCAGATCTTGTGATCAACGAAAACGTTTCAGTTTCCAAACACTCTGGCTGTAAGTAAAACCACAGGGATTGTGAGCCGTGGTGCAAATTCGTATGTCATGACAGATGAATTTGATCACCAGGTAAAGGCACAAGGTAACCGGAAAACACGTTTGCATTGCGCAATGGAAAAGAATGTTGACGAATACTTCTTTAATCAAATTACTGAATGCACTTTCTCATGCTCTGAAGCTAATATTTGACCTGGCTCGTGAGCATTTTTTCATGTACCCTGTAGGTTTGCGTTTGCAAACTTCATCTATATTTTCACTTAAGAATTATTATTTTATGAGTTTCTTTTTTCGCTTCCTTGGCTGCCACTGGTAGTTCAATTTGGGCATGGAATCATGCTGTTTACAATCTTAACGCTTAAAACTTATGCCAGCTAACGTTTCAGAAAGCTGGTCCACTTTAGGAGAATTTACATAGCATACCATTTAGTTATTGATGAACTCCTTAAACTTTATGCTCAGTTTTTACCTTCTGAGGTGACAAAACGTTTGATTACCCAGCACGTATAAAAAAAATTTTCGCCAGCATGAAGGTAAATAAACATTGTAAGGACGTAACAAAAAGAAGGAACGTAGTGTAACTTACTGCATTAAAATCTAATAATAACCTGACACTCAACGGCTTTAACTGCTAACATTAACATTATATTCATAATATAAGTACACATCAGATTCATTGCATTATTTCTCTAATTATCATTAAAACCTGGTAACGGCTATCAGTTCCTAAATATATTGACCTTTATTATCTATGTACAAAATTGTAATGTTAATAAAAGTACTTTCTTTTAACGTGAACTTTGTGAACACTGTTGCTACTTGAGAAGTCCAATGAAGTTGATCTCGCCTAGCTTTACACTGGATTCTTTTTAGTTTTATTTATAATATAACCAAGAAAAAGTCCAATAGGCCATCTCCGAGTTGCCTTAAGCCTCTGTTTCAAAGCGAGGCTGTAAGCACGAAGCATTTGATAGAATAAAGAAAACTGACATTTTTCTTTTGTCGTTTTACCTTCACAAAACATCGCAAATAACCTTTCTAACTAAGATTTATAACATAGCGCGCGTGCTTGCCCAATATGAGTC